ATATATATATGTATATGTTGTATACGATCCCATGGGATGGATGCTGCCGTTGATACAGAAAACCATAGTCTTTTTACAAACCTTGCTGAAAGGCGATTTTGAGTGGTATTTACCACTCCCGGAAGATCGAGAGTGTTCGCGATTATAAGGAACGTACAGGGATTTCAAAAAGAACTGTCGCCTTGTTTGAGTTCCAAGCACTCGGACGCTCTCTTGGTCACATTCGCTCATGCGGCGGAGGCAATGGTTTCATGCATCTTTTGTGCACTGGACAGTGTGTGGATCTATTGATAGCAAAAGGGAAACACCTTATTTTGAAAGCCGAGATGACTATACCCAAAATTGAGCTAAGCGCATTGACTGAGCAATGTGGCTTACAAACTTTAGTACGCCAAATCGAATCCGTAGGGTTGATGAAAGGCATAATCATTTCTACAGATTCAGAAGTCGTCCTAAATAGGATCAGAGCTGAATGATACCCAGATGCAACCCCTTTCATGCGAAATCACGTCAACGAAACCCAGAACACTGTGGCTTATTCCAGGAAAAACCGAATTCAGTTTTGACACGTCCCATCACAGCTCAACTCAGCAAATTGGCTGCTTTCATAGTCCGCCGGCCGGCCGGCCGGCGTGCCGCGAGGCAGTGCTAGGGGGAGGAGGGCGGCAGACGGTCGGTCAGCTCGCCGAAGGGCTGTAAACAAGGAGAGACAAGATCAAGAATCATTTGTACAAGCCCCTGGTTGTTTGGTTTTTGATCTTGTTCTTCTTTGTTTTCAACCCCTCGACTGACCTCTGCCGCCCTCCTCCCCCCTAGCACTGCCGCGTGGCACGCAGGTCGGCCGGCCGGCGGACTATGAAAGCAGCCATTGTGACAGGACAAAGCGCTTTTGAACGGACATTTTTGGTAAAAAGACCCTAGCTTCCTTTCTCAGCAAGTGGAAACCAAGAGAGACATATACACTACGATCGCTCTACACGAACTCCAGGACGAGAAGAACATTCGGGAGAAGCTGCAGTAACAATTAGCGATAAATGTAACATTTGTGGCACATATTCCATTTGATGCCTAAAACCTTCGGGTTTGTTTCGATAGATCTATCGCCGTATGAGATTGCTTCCATGTCTTGATTGCCATTCGAAACAAATTCTAGTAGATTCGTTTTTAGCTAACTAAAAATGATCTCTGTTCTGCGAATATACGTGAATCGCCTCATCCAATGAGTCCATAGTGAGGAGAGGATTATCGACGTACAATTCTCCATGGTTTCCTCGATGAGTTTGTTGTCATTTGTGTATAGATCCAGGTGCTAACGATGTTGTTGTCCCGAGTAAAAATGGAGAGGGAAGCAATCCAAAGTTTACGCGTGTAAATCTAATGATCCGTGAAAATCCTGATATTCATCGCAGTTGGAAGAATTTTGTGATAGCCTCTCGCTGTCCACCTGGTGGAGACGAATTTGCAAGAAAGCTTTCTCCACATCTGAAATTAACGCAACCCCTCTATCCGAACAGGAGAATATTTCCATAAAGCTTCGGCATGTATCATGTAGTGCATTATTCAAGTAGGGAGCATTTTCATAGTGCGCTGATGCGTTGAATACTATCGTCAACACCGCGTGGTGACGCTAGCAATGAATCTTGCCCTTGACTGGCTTTTTCTCATCTGTTACTTTCTCCATAATATTCAAACGCAGTTGTTCCTGAAAAATTTCATTGTATTCCTCCAAGAGATCCTTATCTTTCTGAAGCGAGATCCATATGCTCACTAGCCTTTATAGACCGATGGCTGTATTGCCGGTAGTTTCGTTAAAATTTGCTTTCAAGGTAGACGTAACCGCCGTCTTTTTTCTCAGTGATATTAACGAAATCTTCCAATATCTTTTATCTTCCATTGACTGTGCTTAGCTTTCTGCCTTAGCAAATACCGTCTTGCTCTTAGGGCCGATGCTTTTCCCACGAGGCCTTTTCGTCCGTTCTCTCTAAAAGCTTTCTTCTCGAGAACGGATCTACTCGAGTTTTCAACTACCGAAGTTGCTCTCACCTTTGGTCGAGGTCGTCTTCTCCACTCTCGGCTTCTTCCATTACTTGCGTAATTTGACGGGTTTCCTGAATTAGTTCTATTGGGAGATATACTAAACAATTGGTAACAAATGCAATCTTGAAAGAAGGCGAATCCGTGATTGATCTTCGCGAAGAAGTTGCCATAGTGGCTCACAACCCATCTATCAACGGTTTCTTTGGGTTTGCTCACAATCAAAATTTACCGGACACTCGAATGATTCTAGGAATATGATGTCTTCTTCTAGTATTGGAGGAGTTCTCAATGTAGTTGTCAAGAACACGTGTTTGAGAAGCTCTAAGGAATGCGGTTTTTCGTTGCTATCCCAATTTACGGCTTACATCTCCTTGTACGCGATCCGAACTGAATGTACGTAGACGTAACTTTGTGTTCCTTAACATGGGTAAGTGTAGCTCCTGTGCCAGTCCACTATCGATGAACGAGAAGCAACTTCGAGATCTAGAAAAACCGCGACCTTCTTCAGTTTCCTTTGCATGGGTCCATCGCTGTAAGTTCTCCAGTTGGTAGGAAGGTTTCAGGGTTCCCATCACACGGTTGTAACCCTTTGACTGGTTTCTTTGTTTCCTTATTAGCACTGTAGCTCCTTGATCATGAACCACTTGATTGTTATTTACTGGTGCAGACTGCTTTTACTGTTTTGGTTTCACTGTTTTCTGGTGAAGGTGTGAGAGTCTTTGAAGAGTTTACCGGCTGCGTTATGCTTGCCTTTGTTGGATAATCCGTTTTGAATCAGCGTGTGATGGCTCCCTTGACAACTGAAACACACTCGCCCTTCGTGTTCTGTGCCTTCAAGTTAGGTAGCGTCTCAGAGAGTTAGGCGATGAGAAACTTAGAAAGGATTGTCGCGGTAAATGATGAAACCATCTATGGTGTGAAACTACGAAAAATGAGAGCCGGGATCGGTCTGCTCCATTCAGAATCACAAAATTCAATACAGTTTTAGGCGAGCAAACATGCCGCTATTTTAAAATCTTGAGAATGGTGTTCTTCAGAAGACAAGAAATAGGTTTTGGCTGGGCTAAAGTAAAGATCGCACTTCAAACGCCAATTCATGGGTGCCTGAAANCCCATTTTCGCAGCATGCATTACTACAAAGGTATACCATTTGAGGGCAAATTAGGATAACTAGAGAAGAGTGCACTTCATCTTGAGAAAATCAATTTGTTTATGATTTATTCCAAATGTATCCAACCCTCTTTGAGGTTTCAACTCTAACTCCTACGATCTTCAGTTTCTGGAAGAGACTTTTCAGTCATTTCATGAAAGGTTTCTGCGAATCCACATGAATAACAGCAACCTTATCACCTATACTCGACACAGTATCCTAATCGAATAAGCCGTCATTCCAATTTGTATAAGTCGACAAACGTGCAATAGAAGAAATGTTATAGAAGTGCGCTCAGAATCACTGTCTATTTCCGGCTGATTGCAACTTAATCTTTGGAAACACAACCAAATAGGGCGGGGCTTAGATATGTTTGCATATGTGTGAAAAATGTCTTTTCGAACCGGATTTTCTGGTTTCTTCCATACCCTATCCTGCGCCTATTCCATCACTAGTTTAAAGAACAGCTGTTAAAGAAATCCTATGACTGTCTTGAACAGGTTTATGTAGAGATCAAGTCTAAGTTCAACGTTTCAGAACCCATGAAACTTTTTTCTCTTTTTCGAAGGGAACTCCTTTCGTTTCCGTCTCAGTGTGCTTCCGTATTTGACAGCCTTGCAAGTAGTGAGATATGTCAAAAAACGAAATGAATAGGATGTAATAAACTTTTCTCCCTCTTCTTCACTTCATCGGACCTCATGGCCTGAATGGTTTCCTACAGTTACTGCCGTGCCACTTACACACACGAAGCATCATTTCACCTTGTTTTAACGAACGTTTTGAAAGCTGAAGGTATTGAGAGTGCGAAAGCATTTATATTTTCTTGTTTGAATTCCCATGGTTGCAGAAGTGTAAAATGAAATTCTTGCGCCAACAATCAATGTTACGCAGGTGAAGTCAGCGGATCCAAGGGAGATTAAACAGGAGCTGAGTAGTGCTTGCAGAACGAATCCCTTCTCCACTTCTATTCGTATTCTAGGGCTCTGGGGAACCCTTACACCTTACCATTGATCTATTTGGGATCGCCCACTTCGATAGAAGAGACTTACGAACTACATGACTGCTGACTTTGTGGTTGTGAAGAAGGCAACATCAATGTCGTATTTCCCATTTCCCCCATATATGATGCAATTGATTTTGAAATATTCAACTTCTAGCATGTTTAAACCATGCCACATTGATTATACTGCAAATAATATTATCGACCTCTTTTGTCTCTTCTTTCTTCATATGGAACCATCTACTCTTCTCTTGACAGTCAATGGTAATATGAGGCAGGAAAAAAGAGGTGACTAGAGAAATAGCAGAGAATGAGGAATGAAGGGATATAAAAGTCGTAGTATACTCCAAAAGCAAATGCATGTCCGGTTAGCAACAAGCAAATGGTTGCCAAGACCTTCCTATTCGAAAATTCTTTCATTCCATCTAGACGATTCCATCTTGAGTATCCTACAGCTGAAAAACACTGATCACTGTAGTGTGACACACATAACACAGATGTATAAAATTTATCGGCGAGTGCCATCTTCGAAAAACACTCCTCCATCGATCGCACAATATTTCGGACAGATTCCTGCCTCTCCTGATTTTCCAGGCGCTCCATCTTTTCCAGGTTGTCCATCAAGACCTGGCTCTCCAATTTCGCCTCGAGGACCTGGGGGACCTTTCGGCCCAGGTGGCCCTTAATAGCATCAGTTTTGAAGGAACCTTCCTCTGTGTCACATATTTTTTTTTTGTCAGGAAAATACCTACCTGGTGGTCCTTGTGCACCCGGCGCACCGTCCATTCCTGGTGGTCCTGCAGGACCAGGTGGTCCGGGTGGACCTGGTTGTCCGGGAATAACGCCTTCAGAAACTGCATCGTCTCCAGGTGGACCTGCTTTTCCAGGTGCTCCAGGCGCCCCGATGGCTCCTGGTGGCCCTTTCGGCCCTGGAGGGCCCGGTGCACCATCACGTCCACGTTCACCTGGCTCACCCATTTCTCCGGGACTTCCGGGAGGCCCTTGTGGTCCGGGTGGGCCTGGCGGGCCTTGTGGGCAAGGACGACATGGCGGAGGTGTGATTGGCTCACACGGTTTTTGTGGTGGACGACCAGGTGCGCCAGGGAAGCCGGGTGCTCCTGGTCTCCCAGGACGTCCCGGTTTTCCTGGAGGCCCCTCAGCACCGGCTGGTCCAGGAAGGCAGCATGATTCACAAGTGCTCTCAAAATCTGCTTCTACAGCGGCATCACCTGGACCGTAGCCAGACTGACGAGTTGTACGGTTGGCAGGGAGCATTCTGATGTGATTAATTTCGTCGAGGATGTCCTCGGCAGATTGCTAGAAGAAGATGTAGTAATAAATCTTCCGGAACATAAAATTAAAGCTCATTCTGTGAACAAACCTTGCAAAAGTGAACCTCGTGTTTTGTTGACCGCTTCACATGTTCAATGTAGTTATAGACGATCGGCAGAGAAATACTGACGGACAGAAAGGCTAGCACTGCGACGCTAACAGCCGAGTACGCAAGCAACCTATACACTTTTAGTCGAAGCTGCTCATCCATCTGAGAACGGACTGCTTGGAGACGATGCATATGAAGCGATAGCTGTCTTATATAAAGCTTCACTGTGGCCGTCACATCATCGCAACCCCTACGCTGCCCTTTGATGCCGGTTTCCCACTTCTTTATTTTCAAGTGCAATTGATAGTGTAACCATTTACGTGAAAACCATCCCCCTGAAGGCTCTCGTGACAGAGGGATCAGAGAAAATCGTGAGTTTATAACATAGACCAAAGAGTTAATTATTGCAGAAGGGATGATGATTTACATGATTGGAAGTATTTCTTGTTCGCTCTCGCCCAATCTAAACCAAAGTTGTAGCCCAGGGGAAGGCATTCCAGGAGACGAGTTTTAATAGGTGATGAGGCTACACCAATTCGAATTCTTGTGCTCGGACCCCAAGAAAACCTTTGTGGCATTTGATGAATATATTGAAGCCACGGTTCGCGATTATCTTAGGCTATCTGTATTAGACGAGTAATGGAAGTGACTCCGATTTTTTTTTCAAAAAAAGTGCGCTCGGCATGATGTAGATACCAACATCACTCATTGCGTCATTGCAACAGCAGTTCCTGGTAGATGTCCTGTTACAACTGCTTTATTAGATGCTTTCCCGAGAGGAATTCATCATCTAGTAGAATGACGAGATGAATCATCGTAATGGTCTAGGCAGGGCTGCTACGCTGGTTGATCTCCCGTTTTTCACACTTACATCAGAAAAAAAAACAGAAGCAGTCGGATTAAGTGATGATTGAGTGCTTTTCTTTTTTTGAACTTTCTATTTCTCTGAACACGTACATAGATCTTTGCGATTTCTCCGTCACTTTTACTTTAAAGTGGAATATTACTTACTTAGATGTATGATGAGTATCGAATGCACTGGTAGTGCGTCAAAGTCACTTCCATTACTCGTCTGACACAAATAATCCAAAATAATCGTGAACTATGACTTCAATACTTTCATCGAATGCCACTAAGGTTTTCTTTGGGTCGAAGGAGAAGAATTCGAATTGGTGTAGCCTCATCACCTATCAAAACGTGTCTCTTGAAATGCCTTCCCCTGTGCTATAACTTGGGTTTAGATTGGGCGAGAGTGAACAAAAAATACTTCCAATCATGCGCTTCACATCGTTGGGTTTTTCAATACCTTTAAAGTAGGACGAATTCAGACAACACGCCTTAATTACAAACACATCAGCTTCGGAAGACATACATAATTTTATACACACTAGGAAATTGTAGTTGTGACTTCTGAGAAAGCCCAGTCGAAGAGTAATCACTGACAACTATAAAAAAACTGAGCTCAATATTTCAAGAGAAAGATGAGCTAGCTCGTTGGGTAGAAGATGTTTGATGAGTATCGAATATCCTGGTAGTGCTTCGAAAGAACAATCTGACTATCTGCTCAGAAGGTTTCTTCATTTTCCAGAGGACGAGAATGAAATTCATGTACTTTTTTTTTACAAATACAATTACAAGTTAGGATTCAAGACTGGAAATAAAATGAGCGAAATTGAAATTAGGTTTGTGACGAGGGTGGTAAAATCGATACCAGAAAAAAGTAAAAACATTGCAAAACAGTACGGAACCGCGAGAAATACAACCTGACAAGCAGCCTGTAATAGTGATCACATCGGAGAAATTTGAACGTGTGAACAAAATTGACCAATTCCCTTTCTACAATTCTGCAAAGCCTAAAGGATCATTCGTGCCTCCCCAGCAAAACTGATGTCTGGGATCTTTTCAGCTTAAAGGCGTATGGTCGAAGCGTGATCAAATCCGATAGCAATTCCTTCAGCTGCATTGCTACGTCAGTTCCAAGTAATGTTCTATGAAGGCAGCTGGTGTAGACTTGAGATTCATTTGCTTTTTCACAAAACCAACAATTGCCTTCCATGTAGTTCGCACAAAGGTGCACTTCATGTTCCTTCCAACTATGTACTAAGCAACGCAAATCAACCAAATGTGTCCCGCAAATCGAGCCTCCTTTAGCTATCCTCTCTCCTATCGCATAAATATGAGATGGTTTTTTCGATTTGTTTCCGTTTACAAAGCAAATTTTTCAAAAGTCTTACCTGTAGGAGAAGTAGAACAAAAATTTGCCGTTGTAAATGTAAAAAAATGTCACTCTGCTTGGCTGTTTGCAGGAACTATTTGATCTTTTTTGCACAATAAACATTTATGAGGCAAATGACGTTCAACAGAAGTATCGAAAATACACATCATTCTGTTTTTAACCTCATACAGATTAATGTCATAATGTTTAGAAACTTTTCCTGAAAAATTTCTAATCCTTTTATGTAAAGGTTTCTGAATAACACAATTGGAGAGTTTCCCAACCTTCAAAGAAAAGCCGAAAAATGTGGCTTTTCTGACACGATTCCAGAAGTACCTATATAATTAGCCACGGATCCAAAAAAATTACATCAGACCAAGACGAAATATATAATACCAGAAATGTGTTCGCAATTATAAGAGTTCACAGGAAAGCCGAATAACATGGTTTTCTTCGGAGAAATTTTGTGAAAGAATGGTTCCGAAGGGAAGATATCTTCGATATGCAAGCGAATTCCTTCACCATTGTTGATGCTATTCCGTTCCTCTGGTGCTAGGTGCTGTACAGGCTTGGGCCTACACGCCTTCACATTTAGCTAGGATAAGCTGAGACATGTAAGGTGGCGACGTCCATTTCTCCGAGGGAGCCACTGGAACTGCCCACTCTGTAGGCTGAGCTGACCACGGACATTCGAATACAGGCGACAGGCTCCCGTGACAGGCCTGCCAACGAACACCTCCGTCGCATCAAAAATGATAATGTCACTTCAAGATTTTCGATGTAATGCTACGGCGTCCGCGGGAGCCGACGCGTACTCGCAAGGCCCGGTGAGTGTGAAAAGTATGCGAGTGT